CAACTCAATAAGAGAAAAAGTTAGAAAATTCACGTAAAATCACATTTGAAAAATCTTGAAAAACACTTTGGACTATCAGATCGACTTGAAATGTTCAGGATTTATTAACCAGGATCTTTCCATTAAACAAGCTAAATTTGAAGTCAATTCAGGGCTCAGAAAAAAAATTATGAGATTTTTTCCAACTCAATACGAGAAAAAATTAGAAAATTCAGGTAAAATTACATTTGAAAAATCTTGAAAAATACTTCGGAGTGTCAGAGCGATTTCAAACTTTCAGTATTTATTAATTAAAATGTTTTCATCAAACAAGGCAAATTTCAAGTCGATTTGAAGCTCAGAAATAGAATTATGAAATTTTATCCAACCTACTACCAGAAAAAGTTGGAACACTCACGTTAAAACACCTTTGAAAAATCCTGAAAAATACTTCGGAGTATCAGATCGACTCGAAACTTCCAGGATTCATTAACCAGGATCTTTTTATCGAACAAGGTGAATTTGAAGTCAATGTAAGGTTCAGAAATAAAATTATAAGATTTTTTCCAACTCAATACCAGAAAAAGTTAGAAAAATCACGTAAATCAACTTTGAAAAATCCTGAAAAATACTTCGGAGTATCAGATCGACCTGAAACTTTTAGAATTCATTAATCAGAATCTCTCCATCAAACAAAACGAATTTGAAGTCTATCTGAAGCTCAAAAATAAAATTATGAGGTTTTTCCCAACTTGTTACCAGAAAAAGTTGGAAAATTCACATTAAATCACCTTTGAAAAATCTTAAAAAATACTTCGAAGTATTAGATCGACTTGAAACTTTCAGAATCAATCAACCAGTTTCTTTTTATCAAAAAAGGTAAATTTGAAGTTAATTTAAGGCTCAGAAATAAAATTATGAGGTTTTTTCCAATTTGTTACCAGAAAATGTTGGAAAATTCACATTAAATCAACTTTGAAAAATCCTGAAAAATACTTCCGAGTATCATATTGATTTCAAACTCCCACGATTTATTAACCAGGATCTTGTCATCGAACAAGGCGAATTTGAAGTAAATCTGAGGCTCAGAAATAAAAATATGAAGTTTTTTCCAACTTAATACCAGAAAAAGTTGGAAAATTCACGTTAAATCACCTTTGGAAAATCCTGAAAAAAACTTTGGAGTATCAGATCGATTTCAAACTTTCAGGATTCATTAACCAAGATGTTTTCATCAAACAAGACAAATTTGAAGTCAATCTGAAGCTCAGAAATAGAACTATGAGATTTTATCCAACTCAATACCAGAAAAAGTTAGAAAATACACGTTAAACTACATAACATTGCGTTCGTCATCATGTAGTGCTGGTGACGTTCTCTCGTGGTTGATTTCAAGAATTTCTTTTTATTCATTGATTTTTTTCGTGAGGAGGATGAGATAGAAATATCCGGGAGCCTGCTCCACTTCCTGTGAGAGGTTTTCCATCGACCAAACTTTGGATTCAGGTCACATGTTAGGTAGGTACTTTTGGAGTGGGTAGTGTGACCTGTGCACCACCAATCCAGCAATCTCATGTCTGGCCCATCAGAAAGAGAATTTGGTGTTGTTCTGATGATTAAGGACGGATTTCCACACTCCTTTTTGGAGGATTCTAGCACAAGCACACCCGTTCTTTTTGAGGTTAAAAAATCTCTCTATTTCGTAGTCATTTTTTCTGGGTTTATTTTTATTCACATGGCTGAGTGAGTGTCTCCATTTTGGAGTAAAATCTTATTCAACTAAATTGAGGCCTGAATCGTTATTTATTCTAGGAAATATTTAGCTTACAACCTAATAGATTTCTTATTTCCTACACTGGGTTATAGCAAATGTTTACTATTTCCTCGATTTTGTTGCTGTTTTTCCGCTAATTGTAGACTGCATTACTCAGCATTTTTGTTTGAATAACATGAATTTGCTGCCTACTACCGGTTACAGTTCTCAATTTTCTGATTTGTTAGTTGTGCAGTATGGAGCTTCCCACCATCCTGTATACAAATCATGTTTTGAATTCCTTTGTGCTTGGTTTGCATCTGAAAATCGCATAATTCAGCAATGATTTAGGTGTATCTTTCACTAGGAACCATTACAGATACAACCTACCCCTTTACAAGATTTCGAGTGAGAATGGTGGATGTCATTTGCAGTCGGTTTGATATCGAAGTTCCAGCCCTGATTGCTAGCTAGTTTTGATTATCCTGAACAACCTTTGCAACTTGGACAAGGCTTAGATTTTGGTCAGCCATGGTTCTGGAACTGATCTACCTTTCAAATTTGGTAATTAAATCACGCCGGTATGCTTTCATTCGACAGGGTCCTATCCATTAACCCATTTCAGTACGAATTCTTCATAATATGTTACTTCTACCGCATTTATATAGGATTGTACTTAACTGAACCACTTAAATCGTTTCAATTCAAGTTTACGTGGGTTTCGATTCGATTTCGTTTGGCATCGTTAATATATTAATGCTTATTGTCATAATAACAAGAGTCCAATTAATGGAGCAGCTAGATTCGCTCTTTGCTAGTTAATTTTTTGAAACTATTCTCCTTACTCTACCATCAACCCATATAATAAAAAAAATCACTTACATACCTAAATTTATTTAATATGAAATTCATCTGAGCAATATTACTCCACTCAACGCGGCAATTTTTTGAACATCGATCCACGATATTATTTGACCCACATATAGATCGGCACAGATCGGTATAGAGCCTAAATCGGGCAATATTTGTCCAGCTTATTTAGGTGTTTGCCTTTGGATCAGCCATTCAGCTTAAAACCGATGCTGGCACATGTTATGCACCGCTCGGATTTCCACCGTGTTGTCTTGCGAATTGATACCTACTACATTTACAGATTGCAATTTGGTAATGAACCTATTTGCATAATGTTGGGTCATAGACCAACGTTAGATACAAGAGTTAGTAGATCTGTCCGAATTGCCTGTTTAGAAACTATATGGGATAATGGTTGTAATTTTCCTGATGAATCCTAACTTATGTAAATAACTACATATATTTTCAATTCAGCAGAAAGAGGACTTATACTCCCATCTAAAGGCTAAAATTCACCAGTTTCATTAAGGCTTCAAATTGATTGGAATACAAAACTGTGATTTATGCGCAAAGGACAATTTAAACAGCGAGGGCATCACCCGGCACTAACGACAAGGCACATCCCATTAGATTTATAAGCTGACAAAAAAGCTATTCTCCATTTAAATCATATAATATATCCTTCAATGCTAATGAGTCTATCTTTTTAACACAATGAAGCGCCCAAATGAAACCCTTTTCGAGCTTAGTTCCAATCATATATTTAAAGCCTACACTTTCCTCAAATAAAAAAGAAGATTAAGGGGTACGTTTGGAAATTGACCGGCCTCATTAAATACAAAAAGATGAAGACAAAGGCCGACTATTTTGGATCATTCAATTCAGATCTGCTTTATTATGTTATTAAGGCAAAACACCCCGCGGACAAGAGGTCTTTAAAAAGCAGAGGTGGACTTCATGGTTATGCGGGTACTGATGGTAGGTTGGATAATGCAAACTGTTTATATTATATCGGGAGAATATGTTTGGGGCGTGTGACGAGTATTTTTTCAGGCTCAGCTTCTCTTGTGGTGTGCCAACCTTTTCTAGGCAAGTATAATCGGGTTGTAAGATTATTTTTTCCACCGCTTCACCTAATGTTTTATTCAGATGCTTGTTGCTCCAGGGTATCTCGAACCCAATTTAGTCAATCATATTTTACCCAATAATGTCCAATTTGTCTAGCACGATTTTAAAAAGAATCGGCATTTTTTGTCATTTGTATCACCCCATAACAATATTCCATTTCCTTTAGTGCTCTAAATTATTTATGAAATTTCGAGAAATATAAATCGGTTCAGTCCGATCCTCGCACGAAAAAAGTGGTTCATCATATCCCCGGCCCGAAAATTCAATAATTACAATTCGATTATGGCCTTCGAACCGGAGAAATGATGTAATCCCGCCTAGGTAAAAAGCTGTAACGTCTTTATAATCGAGCCGTGGCAAAGGCAAAGAAAAAAAAAAGCCGATCCTCCCAGCGATGCCGCTCAAAACACGTCTCCGTTTCCATCATCATGACCAGAGAGTTGATTACTTACTTCTCTCTTTCTCTGACGCTGTGAGGGGTTTCAACTGGCCAGATTGCACGAGCGGGTTTCTCTTTTAAGAAGAATTTTTTTTGTTTGTTTTTTTTTTGATAATTAATATTTTTATATCGACGAGATGAAGTATCTGTATAGAAATTTGCATTTTTTTTTTCAGGAATTTTGTCATCAGTTTGTAAGCTATTTTAATTCCATGTCATCAACATAGGCGATCACTCGATATACCGATTATGATTATCTGGTATTCTATTCTCAATGCCGTCGATTGTGCGTTCTCTGGTGGCTATATAAACCAATTTTGAAGTCGGACAGTCTTGGCACACCCAACCTCTGGCAGCATTGTCTCTTCCTCTGTTCTCTTACTTCTTCCTGCGGTCCTTATTTTGTGTCTCGTATCTGCGTCGCTGTTCTTCAAAAGTTTGTGGTACGTCGTGGGCTACTCGACTCCATGAGAACCTATTATTTGCCACCGTGTCCCAGTTGTTGGTATCGATGTTGCACTTTGCAAGAATTTCATTAAGAACATCTTTGTAGCGTTTTGAGGACTCTCTCTAGAAGTCGCCCGTCACCCGTACGCAGCGCTAACACACTTCAAGCGGTGTTGGATTTCAGCATCAATGGTTGTATTTCGTTTCGCCGTCGTTAAACACGTATAAATGCGCTCACGCTATTGTTAGTGATTTTAAACAGATAAAGTAAAGCAATTTTTTTGTGTTTAGCATCATCCTCAGGAGAAAAATGTGTAGTTATCAGTGACACTATGGAAGAAATTACTAGATGCCGATTTGCCAGCGTAAGCCATTGAAACAATAAATCTGTTTACATTTTAGGCAATATTAATAAATCGAAAGAACAAAAAAACACATGAACTTGGACAGCTTATCAGCAAAGGGATCCCATCTAATTTAAATAATTCTATTTTTTATGTGATGGATTGCAACGAGAACAACTGTCCCAACTGTAAACAAACAGTTGGCGAAGGCCAATGCTATAAGTGCGATTTATGTATACCGGAAATCCATAAAAACTGTGCAGCCCTATCGGGTTCAGAAATAAAATGTATGCCGCTCCAAAAGAGATTACTGGTTTTACTATGCCATGAATATAAAGGGATGCTGGCCAGAACACCACTTATGCTTCAGCTATTGGAAGGTATGAAAAATGAATTAAGCAGTTTAAGAAAAGAAATAAACGAGTTAAGAAATCAAACAGGTGTTAAAAATAGCATGATAGGAAGAATCCAATCGAAAACATTTGTAGAAGCTTTAAAAAGCAGAGGTGAAAGAATGAATGCACAAATTAAAGCACAATCCCCATCTTTAATTATTAAACCTAAACGAAAACAAAATTCTGAAAAAACGAAAAATGACTTAAAAGAAAAAATACAACCAAACCTACTGAAAATTGGAATTAAAAACATGAGAGAAACAAAACGGGGGTGTGTTGTTGTCAAGTGCACAGAGAAGAATGATATTGAAAAGTTAAAACAAGCCGCAGAAAATAGCCTTGGGGGCGGTTATGATATTGAGCTACCCAAATTGAATTCACCCAGAATGATAATTGTGGGTTACAACGGTGATCTGGATCAAAATGAATTGGAGCATACAATAAGACAGCAAAATGAATGGATAGAAGATGGCGAGGAGTTAACAATAAATTTCATCAAGAAGGTAACATTCAAGGGAACATCAACTATATTTTTTGAATGCTCACCAAAGTTATATTGGAAAATGTTGAACCAGAAGAAAGTCTCTATTGGATAGGAAAGATACAATGTATATGAGAATGTAAGTGTAAGTAGATGCTTCAAATGCCAAGAATATTTTCACAAAAGTGGCAATTGCGAGAATAATGTCACCTGTGAGTACTGTGCTGAAAGCCATGATAGTAAAGAATGTACAAAACAAATAAAGAAATGTAAAAACTGCTGTAATGCAAATAGCAAATTTAAATTACAGTATGACACAAATCATGCAGCATCAAACCCAGAATGTCCTTCCACTAAGTACCACATAGACCTAATAAGAAGCAAAACTAATTATGACTTTCCATAATGGTACAATTAGTGCAAGATGAACTTTTAGAAGGCATGCAAGCTGAAAGTAATAAACAAACAATTTTAGTGGATAGTGATGGTTCACGAAAGAAAGTAAAAAGAAATAATATTGTTCTTAATTTATTGCATACTAACATTAGAAGTATGGTAAAAAATATTGATAATTTGATACTGCTCTTGAAAACTTTTGAATTGGATTATAATGACATTATTGTCTTAAGTGAAACATTTAAAATCTCCTCAATAGATCAATGTAATATACCTGGTTATCAAATGTTTTACAATTATGCTGATTATAACAAAAATGGCGGTATTATAATTTTAGTAAAGAATCATATTGATAATGTCAAATTTCAAATTATCAGGCTACCAATCTCTTTAGCTACTGTAAGCAGATTAACATGTGTTGTAAATGGTTTCAAGATTGGTATAACTGCGGTATATAAACCGCCACCCATATCTAAGACGGATTTTATTGAAGATGTTCAAACTTGTCTGGGAAACATAACTAGTTATAGTGATAACAATTTTGAATTTTTTATGGGTGATATAAACATGGACTTGTTAGATGTAGGGAATAATGAGGTGTATAACTATTTGTCAATGATGTCTCAGTTGGGATTCGAGTCGTACATAAATAATGTGACCAGATTTGATAGTAATACTTGTCTTGATCATATTTTTGTTAACAGCAGGCTAAAGCTTAATTGCCTAACCTTAGAAACATACATTTTAGACTCTCACATGACGGACCATGGACCTACCATGCTTAATGTGGTCTCAAGGGATGCTAAAATCTATAACAATAATGAAGTAATAAAAACCAGTTCATTTGACATGTGCAAGTTTATAGCATCTCTAAGAGCTCAGGATTGGTCCTTGGTTCTTGATGACTCTGACCCTTAGTCGTCAAATTCAAAATTTATTTCAACTTACAAAGACTTGATGTTACAAGCAACTACTCAACATAGCAAAAAAGTAAAACAGTATAAAAAAATAAAAAAATGGATAACCAATGGAATAATCACCTCCATTAAGCACCAAGATAAGCTTAAAAGAAAGTTACTGCGAAATTATGATCCTGATCTGGAAAACGAATACAAAAAATATCGAAACCAATTAAATAAACTGATTGATAAACAAAATAATGAATATTACAAAACTCAGATTAATAACAATAAAAATAACATCAAAAAAATATATGAAATAATCAAAGATGTTACATATGAAAATACAAATGACAAAATAAATAATATTAAAATAACTGATAATGCTGGTATTGAACTGAAAAATGATTTAGACATAACCAATCTCTGTAACGAATATTTTATTAATGTTGGTGAAAAAATGGCAGAAACAATTCCAAAACCTGAATTTTCAATTAAAGCAGATTTTAGTTTAAAAAATTCTGTTTCTTTCGCCAATATGCGAAAATGAGTTAATCAAACATATCTCGTCGTTAAAGAGTACAAGTGCTCCAGGTTTGGACAGAGTTAGTTCTAAATTAATAAAACAAACACATATTGAAATTTTGAAACCGTTGTTACACATAATTAACAGAAGTTTTGCAACGGGAATTGTGCCTTCCCACTATAAAGCATCAGTTGTCACACCTGTTCATAAGAGCGGTTCAAAATCACTGATAGAGAACTATAGGCCTATAAGTTTGGTGAGTGGCTTTGCCAAACTGTTTGAAAAGTGTGACAGACTTGTTGAGTTTTTCAGAATTAACAATATACTGTCAGGAAACCAGTACGGTTTTTTGCAGGGATGTAGTACTGAATATGCTATGCATAGACTAACATCGGAGATTACCAGCCATTTGAACAATGGTAAAAAATGTGCTGCCATTTTCATTGACCTGGCCAAGGCATTCGACACTGTTTCCCATGATAAACTCCTAGATGTCTTATGGCAATATGGAGTCAGGGGAACGGTGTGGAAATTGTTTCAAAGCTACCTTCATGAGAGATCTCAAGTAGTAAAAATTAATAATATTTTGAGTGGTGAAAGGGTCATCAAGATGGGAGTGCCACAAGGAACAGTGCTTGGTCCAGTTTTGTGTGTCACATACATTAATGGTCTACTTTATTTAAATGTTGATGGATCTATAATATCATACGCCGATGATACTGTACTGCTTTTTAACGGCAATACTTGGGAAGATGTTAAAGATAAAATGATACAGGGTTTAAAGATTACAAAAAATTGGTTGGAAAGTTTCAAATTATCTCTAAATTTGAAGAAAACAAATTATATTGCTTTTTCTCTAACAAGTGCTAACCGACCTACTTTCCCAAATATTACAGTCAATAATCAACAAGTTGAAGAAGTTTCCCATACAAAGTATCTTGGTATAATAATTGACCAGTTTCTGAAGTGGCTTCCACATATTGAGTACCTATCAAATAGAATTCGTGGATTAATTCGTAAATTTTACCTGCTTAAGCAGGTTTTGAGCAGACAAATGTTAACTGTTATATACAAAACCCTTGTTGAGTTATTGATAATTAGGTACGGAATTTTGGTATGGGGAGGATTATATGATAATACTCTCCAAAAATAAAATGTTGCGCAGAAATATATATTGAAAATTATGTATGGCAAAAATAGGTTGTATCCTACAGAGTTACTGTTTTCGGATGAAATATGTAATATAAGAACATTGTATATGATATCGGTAGCTGCATTTATCCATCAAAATAAATATCTTCAAAATATAATAAGCCATCAATACGAAACTCGGGGGAAGATAAATGCAGACATTGTAATTCCGTTAAATTTTAATAACATTAATCTAAGAAGTGTAGCCTACCTCGGTCCTAAAATCTACAATATGTTATCCAGGAGTTTGAAGGTGACTAATAATATTTATAGGTTTAAGATTAACTGCAAGAAATTTTTATATAAAGAATATAAGAAATTTGAATATCTTTTTATGTAATTATTCTAATATTAAGGAAATACTTATTACTTATTAAAAAAAGTATTATTACTTATTAAAAAAAAAAAAGAAATGGAATCTGGTACATACAAATAACTCTGTTATTTAGGTACCAATAAGTACTTTTGCTTTGATAGGTTAATTAAATTTAGTTTCCCTCTGTAATATTGTAATGATGCTAATTGATAAATTTTGTAGGGTTAATGACATTAAAATGGAAAGATAAAATAAATTGTATGGAGCACGGTGTTTACGTGGGATGTAATTTTGCAAATAACTTGTTGATTATTTTACTTGAATAAATTATCTATCTATCTATCTATTTGCTGCCAGATGGGTCCCAATGTATATTTGGGGCTTGCGGATTAGTGCCCAGTGCAGATTGGTGCAGAATCTGCGTCTTGTCAAAGTTGACCTTTAGGCCGATTCTCCTGTATGCCTAGTTGAATCATCGCTTGAAGATCTGCCTCTGTATCGACCACCTTTGTAATTTCCACATTGAGCCTTCTCTCCCTCCATTTCATTTGATTTTCTGATCCGCCATTGGTCCTCTAATGCTCGCGTTTGCCTTTGAACTTCTACTTTCGCTCCCTGGTATTGCCTTTTTTTTACAGTCGAGCTGGGGCCGGTTCGTAGTTGCATCTTTTTTTTTCGGTAGGGAAGTCGTCTGATTAAACTCCAAGTAGCGCTGCAGCCGGAGACTTATTGTGCTGAATCTTCCTATTTACTGCACCCATTCCAAAACCCTGGTACCCTGCAGTAGGCGAAGTAGGTCTGTTGGATGTTTGCCTCATGTGTCTGGATCTAGTTCATCTTCTCCAAATATATTTTGTCCTCTGCGAGTTACTGCATCGCATTCTGATATAATATGTGGGGTTGTTTCAGTCTCTGTTCCGCATAGTCTGCAGCTCGTGTTTTTGTTGTACAAGCCCATTGTTCGCAGGTGCTTCCTTAATGGGACATGCCCAGTAAAAAAGGCGATTGCTACTCTGAGTTGATTCCTGCTTAGTTGTAGCAGTTTTTTTGCTTTTCTGCTGCATGTCTCACGTATGAAGATTTTCCCATGTGCATGCTTGGGTATTTGCTTCCAGTATTGAGCACGTTTTGCTGTGATCCATTACTTCAGCTCTTTTCTGACTGTACTTTTGGGCACTCCGAGAGCTGGCTCGGGACCAAGATATTCTGTGGATGACCCGTTGCGTGCAAGTACTGCATTCGTTGCCCAGGATACCTCTATGTCCTGGCACCCACATCAATGTGACGTTATTTTGTTCCGCTAAGTTGTTGAGCTCTTCTCGGAATTCTAATACCAGTGCAGAGTTTGCCTTAGGATTCTTCAATGCCCCCAGTGCTGCCTGACTGTGAGTAAAGTGAGTCTCCTGTTTCTGCAGGCCCTCATAATGTTGATTCTTGCGAATTGTAGTATTGCATATACCTCTGCCTGAAAAAAAAAAGATGTGACCCCAGGGAGTTGAAAGTCTCTCGCATTTTCCTCCTTGACTGTAGATTCCTGCGCCTGTGCCATTCTCAGTCTTTGATCCGTCCGAGTACCAGGTCTGGCCTTCGAGATTGGAGAGTGCATGTTGGTTTTCTCATTCCCCTCTTTCACTAATTAGGACTTGGAAGGATACGTCGGGTGAGTATCTGGGAAGTGCATAGTCAGTTATCATGTCGAATACTGTCAGATTTATGACTTCCCTTATTTGTGTGTGGCCTGATCTGACTATTAGTTTGCTCAGGTTGTTTCGTTATCTGTGGAGGCC